GAATCCAACTGCCTGGTTTCAAATCTTGACCTCTACCCCACGAAACTCTCCTGGTCCCTGAATCACCATCACTGCAGCACACTCTAAAGCCTACAAATAAAGATTACTGAGACCATCTTACATTTTGTTCTGAAAGCATTTGAGGCAGGAAGGATGAAAACAGGCACAGAATTATTATTTACTAGATGCCAGTGCTTTCAGATTTAAACAATAATTTCTCCTATACTTATTCACCTTCTCATTCTCCATCAGTGATGTAAAGTTCCTTTCCTCTTCCTCTGAAAACTTGAAGCCAGCCCAGCCAGATGTAGGAGAAGCTGTGTTTCTATTGATCAGAGATGTTTAAGACATTCCTTCAAATGAAAGGATACTACATTCTCTCAGAAAAAGGAGTGTCATGAATAAATATTCTCTATATTCTTAAATTTATAAATACTAAAGGATTGTTTTACATAAACAAAGGATAAACAACAAATCATAGACCGTGTGTCCAGTGAACACAGGCTCCCATTCTGCCAGGGCATGGGCTGTACCAACAACCAACACTGTAGTCCTGGGGCTCTGCATGACTGTGAGTTTCAGGGACACAAAGACCCAGGTTTGAATCTCTATCTTGAAATTAGGAATTTATTTGAAACAATTTATATAATCTTCTCTTCCTATGTAGATTGGGAATAATAACCACAACTATCTTGCTGTGTTTTTATGAGGGTCAATTGAGAATATAAATATAAAAGAGTTACAACAGAGGTAGTTATTATTTATCATGATAACTTCATGGTATCTTTATGGGCATAACATAGACCTACCAAAGACGATTGAAGCTGGCTTTTCTTTCAAAAGACTGTTTTTAATTTAATAACATGAAACAAGTAACACTGAATATTTTATGCAATTGGTTTTGAAGTGACTCTAGGTATAAGTTGTCTCCAAAGATGTAGAAAAATTATTTTCAATATTTGATACCAATTCTAAACTAAATATCTCTTTATTATATTATGAAACTATAATAAACATTTCCACGAAAGTTATACAATGCCACCAATATGTTAATTTATGAGACCAGATTAACCGGTTCATATGCGGATCTTAGACTTGCTTTTCCAGCTTTTTAACTATTTGCAGAGTATCTGTGATTGCAAAAGGCATGGCTTTATAGTAAACTAAATATGATTTTGAATTATATGAACAAATTTGACTTTAGAAAAATATAATTGTATTTAGCATTTATCTGTGGGCAAAAAGGGGGTTTTATTCCTGAAACAAAGTTTAAAAATCACTGTTCTAAGTCATAGAAATTGACATTACCTACTAAAGTCTTACCCCTTAAGGCGGGAGTCCTCAACCCCTGGGCTGTGGACAAGTACCAGTCCACAGCCTGTTAGGAACCAGGTTGCAGAGCATGAGGTAAGTGAGTGATCATTAGTGCATGAGGTCTACCTCCTGTCAGATCAGTGGCGTCATTAGATTCTCATAGGAGCGCAAACCCTATTGTGAACTGCACATGCAAGGGATCTAGGTTGCACATTCCTTAGGAGAATCTAATGCCTGAAGATCTGAGGTAGAACAATTTCATCCTGAAACCATCCACCCACTTCCACGCCCCCAGACCCTTGTTTGTGGGAAAATTGTTTTTCACCAAACCAGGTATCGGTTCCAAAAAGGTTGGGGACCACTACCTTAAGGAATGAAGCTGTTATAAATGAAATACATACATAAAAATTGTAAGCCACATATAATGATATTTACAAAGTGGCATTCTTTGGGAGGGTTTTTTAAAACTGAGTAACTCTGAAGAACTATAAAAAGAAAAACTTTGAGGAAAAAAAATCAAATGATTTAGATGGACGACAGATTAGAATCACGAATGGGAAAACAGTCAAGTTTTATTAAAGGACAGAATTCCCTTCTTCAAAAGAGAGAAAGAAGCAGTTAATTTTCCTGGGTAAGTGGCAGTGATGTATCAGGCGGATGGAGATGTAGTGGAGGAGACAGGGGTTGCTTTTACTCTAACGCTGTTGAAAACATAACCAGCCTAATGTCTCACAGATTAGACATTCAACTCCTATTTATGCTGCAAGTGTTGATAATGACGATGACTATTTATGAGTTAATCAATAGAGAGACGCTATGCCTACTAGGAACAAAAATGCCAATTATGGACAGTCACTAGGTAGTGAAATATAGGAGGAAATGTAGGAGAAAAGACAAAGGGGAGAGGGGAAAAGGAAGGAAGAAATAATTGTCTAACGAATGCCTGCCCTTTAGGGGTTTGCCAGGCTTATTTACATGTGGAACCTTACTAAATCTTCCCAGGAGCGGCTGCTATTATCACTTCCCATCAATAAGAAAACTGAAGTTGTGAAGTGTTGAACTATGTACATGCATTCCACATATATTTACTGCATGCCAAGTATGTTTCATCAGTGTGCTCATCTCTGAGGACATAAAGATGAAAAAAACAAAACGAAATATCCGCCTACTTCAAGAAAACTACTGTCCAAATTGTGACAACCATCAATAAGTGACTTACTCAAAATCAGATAACCAGTAAGTGGAAAAGGATGTGAATGCAGGTTTTTCTAATTGTAGAACCTGTGCTCTTTGTACCATCATACCAGGGAAAAGCAAGGAGCTGCTTCTCCCCACTGCCTTCCTTGACAGTGTCCACACCAAGAGTGTGGGCAGGTCTGCTAGCCTCTTTATACTTTCTGAGCCCTGGCTTCACAGGCTGTGCCTAGCCTCCCATCAAGCTACTAAATACAACCGAAATAACTGCTTAGTAACCTGTCATAACAAAAAAATCACACAGGCCAAAAATTTGCAACTGTAACATATTTTGAGATATTGGCTTACATGTTATTTTTGTCTCTCTGGATATTCCCTTTTCCCTTTACCATATTTAAGCTTGTGGCTTGCTCTGTGTTTGTTACCTTAGGGAATGTATGTGTCAGGAAGAAAACAAAAACATCTGTAAGATTTTGTTTGTCTAAAGAGCAAAGACAGGTAAACACATGGACAGAATATTTTGGAAGAAGTGTTATTTCCCAATCCTCCCTCATTTGTTGACTAGAATGAGACTCCTCTAATCTAGCAGAGGTAGGGAGAGAGAACGGAGCCTGCAGTAGGTTCACCCTCTACTTGGCTTTCTAGCAGCATTACTGGGAGAAGGTAACCCCCTCCCCACCCCCCAAAAAAAGAGTCATATGGTGCATTTGGATGCATACGAAATAGGAAGCATTTTGTAAGATTACAATTCCCTAATTGTAGCACAAAATGATTGAGATTGAAGCTCCTCATGGACCAGGACAATGAAACAAGGACCAGAGGGTTTCATGACATTACCACTGCTGCCCTCCCACCCCAATGATGTAGTCGGGAAAACTGTAGCACAGTCTTGCGGGGAGGCAGAGAGCAAGCTGTATCCCACAAGCTCAACAGGATACAGAACTCAGAGACAAATCAGTTGAGCTATAAATATGGAGTTATGTTTCCTACACTCTTTGTTTGTACACTAATATTTATAACTCCTTCAGGGAGAGAGGAAGAATGTAGGGGAGTGAACAAGGTTAGGGAAAGGGTACTCCATTCCTCATGGCTTCAGAAAGCATACTCAGTTTCTTTCATTGATGGGGGAAAGGTATCACTTGCATCCTCCCATCTCTGCCCCACATCCCCAATAAGGTAAAATCCTTCTAAGCAACATCTAGTCTGCCCAGTGTAAACACCAAATCTTCACTTCGATAAAGGATGTCTTTCAGGCCCAACTATCTAGCTAAAATAAAACTTGGAGGGGTTGCTCTCTTATATATAGCCTACTATTTTAATTTTAGCATAATACACCACATAGAGCAGGACTCTAAATCTCATACTATCTTTCTGAGATCTGGTGAGAATCCTTTTGCCTGATGTAGCTAAAAAAAAAATAGTCTCTTTCTTCCTATGTCACTCCTGTTACTAGTCATCTTTCTGTTCTCCAAAGCAGGACTTCCCAGGGATGTTGATTCCTTATATTTGTAGACTTACAGCTATTGAATAAAAGGCCTTAGTCTGCAGTTGTTCTACAAGAAAGATGAATTCCTTCAACCTTAGCTGCCAAATGTCAAATGTCTTATGTAAACTACTACTTAAGAATCATTGCCTGTCTGAGTGAGAGATGTGATTGCTCTTGTTATCCATCTGCTTTGAGTGGTCTGTGCTCAGGCGGTTTTCCTGCCTCGATGAAAAGTGTATTCCACTATCTACACATCTTGGAACACAGTGAGGCCTTTACATTGGGTAAAAACCGAAATGGATTGCAAGTCACATAAAAAATAGGAATGCCATTGTTTTAGCGTAATCTTGATAAACATCCTTACTACCTGTAGCATTCAACTACGAGGCTTCAAAACTTAACCATGTAATACTCAATACATGGACTGCAGAAACATTACATAGATCATTGTGTACCATTATTAATTAGATATTCATGATTGATGAATCAAATAGAAAATGTGCTTAAAAATCATTTACAGAACCAAGGGCAATGAAAAAGATGTATTGTATACACACACACACACACACACACACACACACACATATATATTTCAGATATCATATGAAGTAAGAAAAAAAACCTTGAATTCTAGCTTGCTTATAAGAAAATTGATGTGATTCAAAGCATTTCCCAAAGGGGAACATAATTCAGCTGATCAGCTAGTTTCCACATTCACACAACTTATTCTGCATTCTACTCCTCTGACAGCTCCAATGTGTCTACTTGCAAATACTTCTTGCAAACCACTTGGGGGTACACAACTGCCACTGCCTGTCAGAACAATACCAACATCCACACTCAGGGTACTGCCTGCAGATGCATTCATTACTTCCTACCTCATGCCATAGCTACATTGCTGGGGTCTGGGGTGTAGAGTGGCTGCCTGCTTCAGTGGAGAGCTTTCTTGACCTAGTCTCAAAAATACAAAGATATTCCAAAGTCACATGAAGTTTCCCTGGCTTACTTGCATCAGATTTTGCCATGAGCAATAGCATCAATGTCATCCAGTCTATCCTTCAGTCTTCTTTCTCCAGCCTTCCCAGATCAAGCCTTCCTCTTTCCCTATCAACAAAAATAACAGAGAATAGGGCAGTGATAGAGATATTGGTAGGCAAGTGCTTTATTACGTGTATAGGTTTGCCTTAGATATTAAATTTTAAAAATTCACATTTTATAAGGAGCTTCTTGTTTCTGTTCATGTCTATTTGTATCACTGGATTTCCCAGGTAAATGACTTGATATTTCATTACTTGGAAATTCCTTACTATATTGAAACCTTGGGAGAACAAAACACTGGTTGTATCTCAGGGTCATGGGATTATTGTGACTTCTATTTTCTACTTCAGATTTTTTTCTGCTTCTTTGTAGCAAGCAGGTATTAACTTAATGATCAGAAAATGCCACAAGTAAGAAGAAATGGAACCTTCTCAAGCATTTCTTGGAACTCTGTCTGTAATGTGTGCAAAGATGATGATACCTGCCCTTCTGATGCAAGGCCCCATGGAGCTCTAGACCATGTGTACTCCCGGAAAATTTATTTACAGGTTGAGTTCATGAGATCTTTCTTAAAAGAAATGCTCCTATTCTGGGCTCCATTTTTTTCTCTCTTACTTACCCTATTCTTCCCCCTCCCCACTTTTTCTTTGTTGTAGAACACTCTTTTCTTCTTTCCTCTTCTTCCTGTTGAATAAATTTCCAGACTGAGTCCTTTCTATTATTCTTCCCTGAAATTTCATACATTCTTCTATCATAGCACCTGCTTTACTTTAATGTTTATATATGTCCAAACATTTAACCAGGTTTTTACATAGATTAGGACTTTAGAAAATAAAGTGTCACCTGGTATTTAAGTTCTTACAAAATTTTTGTTGCTGGGCAACACTCATTTATGTTAATTGACAAAGTATTCTTTAGTGGGGACATCTGAGTCTGAAACACCTCCATTGATGCTAACTTGGGATCTTTATATATCACCTGATTGGAGGAAATAAGGAAAATAAATTTAACTCAGAACTAGTCATTATTCCTGAGAGTAAAACTTTGCAATTCCAAATATTGGAAGTTACAAAAAAACTAAATTTATTATTTAACAACACTAGAATAGTTGGTTGCATGAAGGTCCCAAATATGTATCTACACAATGAATGGGAAGAAATTATCCTTGTCTCATACAAAAGATTAAAATTTCTACCCCATACATACATCCCCCTTTCCCCACAATGATGTCTCTCAACTAATTTATATATAAGTAAACATGATATGCTCTAAAAATTTGTTAGATATCTGGGTAAAAACACTCTACAGAAGTCAAAAATACAAATGTAAATGTTAAATATACATGTAGAGAGTTTAAATGAAATTTGATTAATAAAATGTGAAAAGGGAAAAGCTAAGTACATTATTTGTGTCTATATAAAATCTTAAACATAAATTTATCATTAAATTGATAAACTCAAATATAAACATTTCTTTTACATTGTTCAAACTTCATATATTCAAGTTTCATTTAGAAAATTAAGTTCATATATTATTCATATATATAGGTAACTCTATATAATTTCTTGTCTAAACAAGGGTAATTTTAAGAGTATTAGAAGTATAAATAAGCGAATGAGGAAATAGGTATAAACTGTTAGTGATTCAAGCAAGCCAATACATGTGGTCATCCATAGTATATATAGTATTATTTATGAATTTTGCTTCTTGAGGGTCAAGTCTGTTTATGTGTATTAGGCATTTGTTTTAGCCCTTGCCTAGTAAGATATCTGGCATTTGGGAGATAGTTAAATGCTTAAGCTAATGAATGAATAAAATAATTAATTAATAAACTGTATTTTATAGATTTGAATTATGAGCCAGGAAAGAAAGACCAGAATTTTACACACTCATACCAGTTATATACAAATATCCAAAAATATAAGCATAATGTATTTTACTGCCATTTTCATCTTTTGATGAATAAAAATATATACATTTGAATAAATAGTTATTTAGAAAAGGTTGATTAACAACAAATGGGGAAAGGAGTTGGAGCAAGATGGCCAAAGGGAAGCCTCCACTGATTGTCCTCCCCAAAGAAACACCAAATTTGACAACTACCTACACAAAAAAAGCACCTTTATAAGAATGAAAAATCAGGTGAGTGATCACAGTTCCTGACATTAACTTCATATCATTGAAAGAGGCATTGAGGAAGGTAAGAAAGACGGTCTTGGATTGCCAACACCACCCTCTCTGGCGCCCAAGAAGTGATCACAGGGCAACGTGGAGAGAGAATCTGTATTCTTGGAGAAGAAAGAGTTAAGTGACTGTGGGACTTTGCATTCGAACTCAGTGCTGCCAATTACAGGCAGAACTCAGCCAACACCCACGGATGGAGTATTTAGACTATCCCTAGCCAGAGAGGAATTGCTGATTCCAGTGAGTGGAACTTGAGTTCTTGCAAGCCTTGCCACCACAGGCTAAAGTGCTCTGGGACTCCAAATAAACTTGAAAGGCAGTCTTGGCCACAAAGATTGCAACACCTAGGTGAGTCCTAGGGCTGAACTGGGACCAGAGACAGTGGACTGGGAGTACACATGACCCACTGAAATACCAGCTGGGGTGGCTAATGAATGCTGACATCACCCCTCCACTAACCCCAGGCTGCACAGCTCATGGCTCCAAAGAAAACCCCCTTTTCTGCTTGAGGAGACAGAAAAGTGGAGATTATTATGTCTTGCATATTGGGTACCAGCTCAGTCACAGCAGAATAGGGCACCAGTCCTAGTCATGAGGTCCCTTTTCCATGCCATAATTTCCGGACATTTCTAGACACACCCTGGGCCAGAAAAGAACTGCAGCCTTGAAGGGAAGGACCTAGTCCCCTGGCAGGATTCATCATCTGCTGATTGAAGAAGTATTATTGAGATCTGAATAATCAGCAGTGGTAACCACGTAGTACATACCGTGGACCTTGGGTGAGATTCTGAGATTTGCTGGCTTCAGGTCTGACCCAGCATATTCACAATCATCATGGATACGAGAAGAGACTCCTTCTGCTTGAGGACTATGTAGAAAGCATTCCCAGGAAGGATGGACACAAACAAGCCCAGACTGTGAAGACTATGATAACTGCATAACTCTTCAATGATCAGACACAAATGAACAGCCACGGGCATCAAGTCCATACAGAAAAACATGACCTTATCAAATGAAATAAGGCACCAGGGGCCAATCCTGGAGACAGAGACACATGTGACTTTTCATACAGAGAATTCAAAATAGCTGTGTTGAGGAAACTCAAAGAAATTCAGGATAACACAGAGAAGAAATTCAAAAATCTATCAGATAAATTTAACAAAGACATTGAAATAATTAAAAAGAATGAAGCAGAAAATCTGGAGGTGAATATGCAATTCATATGCTGAAAAATGCATCAGAGTTTCTTAATAGCGTAACTAATTAAGTGGACAAAAGAATTACTGAGTTTGGAGAAAGGCTATTTGAAGATATACAGTTAGAGAAGACAAAATAAAAATGAATTTTAAAAATGAAGCATGCCTCCAGGATCAAGAAAATATCCTCAAAGCGGCAAATATAAGTTACTGACCAGAAAGAAGAGGTAGAGAAAAAGATAGGGGTAGAAAGTTTATTGAAAGGGATAATAACAGAGAACTTCCCACACCTAGAGAAAGATATCAATATCCAAGTGCAAGAGGCTATAATAAACAGCAGGCAGATTTAACCCAAAGAAGACAACTTCAAGGCATTTAATAATCAAACTCCCAAAGGTCAAGGATGAAGAAAGGATTATAAAAGCAGCAAGAGAAAAGAACAAATAACATACAATGGAGCTCTGATATGTCTGGCAGTAGACTTTTCTGTGGAAACATTACAGGCCAGGAGAGAGTGGAATGACATATTGAAAGTGATGAAGGAAAAAAAAAAAAAAAAAAAACATTTACCTTAGGATAGTATATCTATTGAAAATATCATTCAGGCATGAAGAAGAAATAAAGAACTCAGACAAGCAAAGTTGAAGGATTACATCAACACCAGTCCTGTCAACCAAGAAATGTTACAGGGAGTACTTCAATCTCAGAGAAAAGGATATTAGTGAGCAAGAAGATCTGAAGGTACAAAACTCACTGGTAATGGTAAGCACACAGAAAAACACAGAATATTATAACTCTGTAATTGTGGTATATAAACTACACGTATTTTAAGCAGAAAGCCTAAATAATGAACCAATCAATAATAATAATTATTAATATGGTTTGGTTGTGTCCCCACCTAAATCTCATCTTGAATTGTAGCTCCCACAATTCCCATGTGTTGTGCAAAAGACTGGGTGGGAGGTAATTGAATCATGGGGGTGGGTATTTCTTATGCTGTTCTTGTGATAGTGAATAAGTCTCGTGAGAGCTGATGGTTTCATAAGGGGGAGTTTCCCTGAACAAGTTCTCTCATTTTCCTTTTGCCTGCTGCAATATAAGATGTGCCTTTCACCTTCCACCATGATTGTGAGGCCTCCCCAACCACGTGGAACTATGAGTCAATTAAACCTCTTTTTCTTTGTAAATTACCCTGTCCCAGGTGTGTCTTTATTAGCAGCATGAAAATGGACTAATACAGTAAATTGGTACTGGTAGAGTGGGGTGCTGCTGTAAAGACACCCAAAAATGTGGAAGTAACTTTGAAACTGGGTAATAGGCAGAGGTTGGAACAGTTTGGAGGGCTCAGAAGAAGATAGGAAGTTGTGGAAAAGTTTGGAACTTCCTAGAGTCATGTTGAATGACTTTGGTCAAAATGGTGACAATGATATAGACAATAAAATCCAGGCTGAGGTGGTCTCAGATGGAGATAAGGAACTTGCTGGGAACTGGAGTAAAGGTGACTCTTACTATGTTTTAGCAAAGAGACTGGGGGCATTTGACCCTGCCCAAGAGATTTGTGGAACTTTGAACATGAGGGAGATGATTTAGGGTATCTGCCAGAAGAAATTCTAAGCAGCAAAGCATTCAAGACATGACTTGGGTGCTGTTAAAAGCATTCAGTTTTAAAACGGAAATACAGCATAAAAATTCAGAAAATTTGCAGCCTGACAATGCAATAGGAAAGAAAACCCCATTTTCTGAGGAGAAATCCAAGCAGACTGCAGAAATTTGAAGAAATAACAAGGAGCCAAACGTTGCCAAAATCATGGGGAAAATGTCTCCAGGGCATGTCAGAGGTCTTCATGGCAGCCCCTCCCATCACAAGCCTCAAGGCCTAGAAGGGAAATATGGTTTCATGGGCCAGGGCCAGGGTGACCGTGCTGTGTGCAGCCTAGTGACTTGGTGCCCTGCATCCCAGCAACTTCAGCTACAGCTAAACGGGGCCCAGGTTCAACTCTGGTCATGGCTTCAGAGGGTGCAAGCACAAAGCCTTAGCAATTTCCATGTGGTGTTGAGCCTGCAGGTACATAGAAGGCAAGAATTGAGGTTTGGGGACCTCTGCCTAGATTTCAGATGATGTATGGAAATGCCTGGATGTCCAGGCAGAAGTTTGCTGCAGGGGCTGGACCTTCATGGAGAACCTCTCCTAGGGCAGTGCAAAAGGGAAATGTTGAGTTGGAGTCCCCACACGAAGTCCCCATTGGGACACTGCCTAGTGGAGCTGTGAGAAAAGGGCCACTGTCCTCCAGCCCCTAGAATGGTAGATCCACTGACAGCTTGCCCTGTGCTCCTGGAAAAGCCACAGACACTCAATGCCAGCCCATGAAAGCAGCCAGGGAGGAGGCTGTACCTTGCAAAGCCAAAGGGGCAGAGCTGCCCAAGGCCATGGGAACACACCTCTTGCATCAGTGTGACCTGGATATGAGACATGGAGTCAAAGGAGATCATTTTGGAGCTTTAAGATTTGACTGCCCCACTGGATATCAGGCTTGCATGGGGCCTTTAGCCCCTCTGTTTTGGCCAATTTCTCTCATTTGGAATGAGTGTATTTATCCAGTGTCTGTACCCCCATTGTATCTAGGAAGTTACTAACTTGCTTTTGATTTTACAGGCTCATAGGCAGAAGAGACTTACCTTGTCTCAGATGAGACGTTGGACTGCGGACTTTTGAATTAATGCCGAAATGAGTTAAGACTTTCGGGGACTGTTTGAAAGGCATGACTAGTTTTGAAATGTGAGGACATGAGATTTGGGAGGGGTCGGGGTCAGAATGATATGGTTTTGCTGTGTCCCCACCCAAATCTCATCTTGAATTGTGGCTCCCACAATTGTCATGTGTCATGGGACGGACCTGTTGGGAGGTAGTTAAATCCTAGGGCTGGGTCTTTCACATGCTGTTCTCATGAGATTGAATAAGTCTCCCAAGATCTGATGG